TCTCTCCCTCTCCTGACAGCCTGTCTGTATCTCATGCAGCACGCTGATCCAGTGAATGAGTGACCCGACACGACAGTAAATAATAAACATAGTTATAACTAGTTTAGCTAGTTCCAGGGGTATATAAGCAGGGGTGCACATCACTTTTTTGCCCTGGTTCTCAAAGGAGCACCTGGAGATGTTGCTTGGTGCGCATCCTTAAAATGAAATAAACCGGACCTTTTGAGGGGTACTTGACTTTATGAACTGTTCGCAGCAGGGTTACTGTGCGGAGCGCATAAAGCAGACCCTTCACGCGATAGCGAGGGGTAGAGCGAGGGATCAGCTTACGGTCTTCCAAGACCCGACCGGACAAAAAGACGTGGTGCAGGCACGAAACATACCAATAGAAATACATTGCTTTGAAAATCGTTCTGTGTGACACGAAGAAAAGGGGAAAATCGTGTTGGTGAACACTAATCAATAGATTACATTTCGTTACTATAACACGAAATGCCGTGAGACTGGGTTGAAATATTTGCAAGGAATTAGCAAGGGATCTCTGTTTGGCCTTAAAAAACAACACTGTGAGACACTTTGAAAATGTGCATCTTTTGAGCTCCAAAAGAGCTTGCATGATTGTTTTAAAGAGGACATATTCTGCTCATTCTCAGGTTCATATTTAGTGCCGCTACTGTGTCATTTGTACACGCTTTAATGTTCAAAAAGCTCTTTATTTGTCTCTCACTGCCTGTGCTGCAGCACCTTTTTTCACCCTCTGTCTGAAACCAGAGCCCATTCTGCTCTGATTGGTTAGCTGACCAGCTCTGTTGTGATTGGTCCACTGCTTAGAGATGTCGGAAATGTCCCGCACCTTACATACAATGTTGGAGCGCTAGCCAACAGAAGTGCAAGTGTTACACATTGATGTTACGGAAGTAAACAAAGGAGTCCAATCAAGTTGCCATCAGACAATGGTTCTATACATATGAGCAGCTGTTCCTTTTTCAAATATTAGGATTACAGAAAATATACTTGCCTGATTTACATGAAACTTGGCACAAGGGTGCAGCATGTGCCAGGGAATAAGAAAACAAATGATGGAGCCAATCCGATTCAAAGGCCAAAATCAATCATTATTATTCACTTGTTGAAATAGCCTGCACTCGAGTGTTCTTTTAGTAATCAAAATATTTATATTCTTCCTGGTAATAGGCAGCAATAAAAAAGGTGGTTCAGTCATAAATCAGTTGGAAGGACATCCAGATTATATATTTTTTCTGTTCTGCTTGCCTGACTCTGATTTAAATGTTTTTTCATCGTTGAACTTCGAAATGTGTGTCCACCATGACAAAGAACTGTAATTGACCTTCCATTAGCCTTGTTTCTTGGTTCAGAACCATCATTTTTTAACATAGTACGTGTCACCACCACGTAACAAGGTGTTAATAGTTTGTGGACTCACACTTTCTGTGAGATCTGTCTGAGTCCACTGTTCATTTGCTGATTTTCTTTCTTTCTCTTAGAAGTTTTTCTGTCCTCAATCTAATAGGCACCTAGTTCAGTGGAGAGCTTGTTTTTAAGACAAGACAAACACAGGGCTCCATGTTCCCAAATCAGTGGTGCAATGCCTAAATAATAGCAAAAACTATCGTTTTTGGGGCACGCATTGCATAATTAAGCACCAAGCGAAACGTCATAGGGATTGCTAGCAGTCACGACCGGTGAAATATTTTTGCTTTTCTTGCCGGGTAATAGCATTCCTCTCTGATAAACCCATGGCAGCGAGGCTTGTCATTTGTGAATCTGCCACAAGAGGAACCTGACTGATGTGCATGAGTAACAGAATCATCGGTTTTGAAAAATGCTGCACCTGAGGTCTACAGATTGTCCTATGTCGTGTGTAATTATAATGAAAAATGTGAGCAGTTTGAGAGATTCCTATCAAATTCTACTGGAGAAAAGACTGGCAACACCATCTCTATCAGTCATCCTCCATTACATGAGCAGAAACCACAGAATTACCTGAGTGTATATAACAAAAAGGTCAACCATCCCTCTTGTCCCTTCCAATCATTCCCTCATTCATCTTTAATGGTGTCCCTGTATGCAGACAGACACACACTGCATTGACTTTCTGCACACTTCAATGACCCTTGTCCATTGCATGAGCGGAATAGATCAATACCCCAGATTCTAGTAACTGAGATATCGCGTGGGAGTATCTCCACTGTGTGAGGTCATTGATGTGTTATGACCTATAACCCTTTGCTTTCACTCAAGAGTCTATTATCTGTGTGTATCAAGCTGTGTTACATATCCCCCTGTTTATTATCCAATCATCCTGCTTTGGCTGTGCACATAATGAAATACTATATAATCCAGCGAGAGCATGGATTGATTACTGAACGGTGACTGTGCCCAGTGCCCAAGGTTTTAAGGGCCCCTCGGCCAAAACAGCTAGAAAATGTGACACAGAAAGACCTCTGAGAGACAGATTACAGATGAAAAAGGAGCTAAACAACCGCAGACAGAATATTAGTACAAAAAGATCAAGACACTAAGTTACTTGAAGGTTCTACAAATAGAGATGTAATGTAGTAGTTATGCAACTCTTTGTGGTACATTTTTGTCTAAGTATGTCATGTTCATTGGGAATCGTCTCTGCTGCAACTAAAATGCAATTGTTTTGTATCAGTATACACTGTTTATCATTCATACTGTAAGCCTTTTTTGTCTTATCAACCTATTTGGCCATACTATATGCTTTAGATTTTTTTTCATACAATGTTAGTGTTGCGCACATTAGTGTTCAATGGCAGGATGGAATTTTTGGGTCTGACAGACTGAGGGAGTGAGTGGGCCCTTCATAATGTTCATCATATCAGTTCATCTCCAAAGGCAACACAGACTGTTAAACAGCGGGGGGCTTACATTGTTAATCTTTAAGTCCCATGTAGCCCTACCTGTTGCTGTTTACAAAATTACCCTTCTGGTCATTTGCCATCACTAAAATTACACCTATGGGGGAGAACCACTGGGAAAGGCAGAATCCAATAAATGTTGGATATGAATCATGGGGTAGATATATATTTAAAAATGTCATTGCAAGACAGGGTCAGCATTTTTACTACCCTTTTTTTTGTTTAAAACCCCCCCCCCCCCTATTTTCCAGTGTTCCCTAGGTTTTTTTCTGACGCACAAATTGAAAATGCACATAAAAACAAGTGGAGGAAAAGCACTTGTTTATGCACAAAGAACATCAAAGAAAGGGAATGTCTTGTGGCAATGAGTTTATTTAGCGAACACTAAAGAAGCCTAGCTTGCTAGCTTGTACTTATAGAGTGGAAAACCAATATAAACGCATTAAGACTCCCCCCAAAATGCTAAAAGGAACAGGCAGCTCATCATGAATGGTTGATAGTTAATGCCAGTGGGCTTTTTAGAAAAAGGGAAAGTCACTTCCTTTTATCAACATTCATAGGATATATCATTATTACATGCTCCTCTAAGTAACACACCACTAAAGCATGAATCCTATGAACAATGATTTGCAAGTGTCTGTCAACTGCTGTCATGGGAAACCTGCAGTCTGAGGCACAAATGTGTCCAAAACATAAATGGAGAAATATAATATCTGCAAACTTTAGAGGATGTAATTTGTATTCCATTTAAGTTTGTTTTCCCATTTGTCATCCTGTCTTCATATCCATAATGCTCCTCTCCTGCTGTGTAGCTTCCTCTCCCTTCTCCTCTCTGACTGCAGTTACAGGGACAGTCAGAACACTCAGTTAAAAACCGCACTTGTGTATGGCAGAGCAAATACATAAAATTGCATACCATTAAATATATTATGCATTGGAAACAGTAGAATGCCTGCCAAATGCACTTCCAGCGGAGAAAATATTTCTTCTTCCCATCATTTCCCTGTATTTTTTACACCATGAATACACCAGAAAATAGTGGGAAGCTTGCACTGCAAACCTGGAGACGTTTTACTCTTAATGACTTTGAAAGTATGTCTAGTAGTGGACCAGCAGAGCCTGAAATGAGCAGTGACATCCAAAGAAAAGATTATTGGGTTAGATGAATACATTCTCAGCAGTCAACACTCTCTCTGGTTGGCTGAACAAATCTTCTACGACAGTTGATTCTCCACCAAATGTTTTTTTTAAATTAATTTCCCAGGAGAATAAAGCGGTTATTCTCTAATCTCATTACACAGAACATTTTTTACAGTCACCCTATGTGTTGATTCTGCTTCAGGGCATGCATTTACATATGACCAACTTTAAATGGTGGCCCGGATTACAGCAGCTCATATGTGTTTATACACAGTGTGAAAGTTAACACTGACAGAGGCCCTTTTATGCTTTTTGGGGGTGTTCCCTTTCCTGTAGTGTGTTATGTTAGTTATTATGCATGGGAATGGTCTGCAAAGGCTTACATCCCTGTGTTCCAGAGTTTCTCTTCCAAACACTCCCCCCCCCCAACCTCCATTGGACTCCTTTGTTACGCCTAAAACGTAGTGACATCACTATGTAACATACGTGCTTCTGTTGGCTAACGCTCCAACACATTGCACGTGATAGAGATGTACTGCCCTTACCCTATGTACTTTTTTCCAACACGACAGAGCCGGCCAGCTACCCAATCAGAGCAGACTGGGCTCTGGTTTCAGACAGAGGGTGAAAAGAGGTGCTGCAGCACAGGCAGTATGAGAAAAATAAAGAGCTTTTTGAACCTTAAAGCATGGAGACATGTCACAGTAGAGGCAAACAATACTAATATCAACCTGAACATTTGCATAATAGGGCCCCTTTAATAAGAGTTAGCTCAAAATTCAGTTGATACAGATTAAAAGGAACTAGTTAACGTTTATAGTACTCAATTTTGAATTCAAGTTCATTTCAAAAGTCTTCAAACAAGTGCACATAAAAAATCATATAAGAAAGCATTGGGGTTCAACGTGCCACATATTTACATATACCAATGGCTTTCTGTCTTCTCTTTCCTCTCAGTGACTTGTATGACTTCTACCACTATTTCTACATGCTGACCAACATCCTGTTCTACGTCAGCTCGGCCATCAATCCGATCCTCTACAACCTGGTGTCGGCCACCTACCGGCAGATCTTCTTCTCCACGCTGCGCTACTTCTGCATGCCCTGCCGCCAAACTCCCAGGATGCACCCTCATCCCTTAACCCCGCCACTCCATCAGTATCTCCAGCAACCACACCCTCTCCACCAACATCATCAGAGAGACGTCGTACTGATTGGGCTGAAAAGGAATACACTTCTATAAACCCATCCACTGGTCCTTTGTGAATATACGTTCAACTGAATTAAATGAGTTCTGAAACTGGTTTGGAAACGATTGGCACAGGCTGATCCGGAACTAGAATGATCATTATTGTCATGTGCCCACTCTGAGACCGCTGTGATTTTATTACAGATTGTGTGTTACTGTTGTTGTGTGTATATTTGTTTAACATGATATTGGGCAAAGAGAAAAAACTAATATAGACAATGGAAGACTGAAAAAAGGAAGGACCGGTAGACATAAAGATAAAGAGCATCTTTTAATGTGGAATCTATATTTTAAATGTTTTTTACAGTACATGTTTTTACTGGATCATCCTTTACATTTGTTTGGTGTTGTACAGTTTGCAGTGTACTCTGTGTTGTTGTTTCAATTTAGTATTTTTCACAAAAAAATGGCATGTTCCAATACTTTCACTATTACAAAAGTTTGTTGTGCGTCGGCAACTGTGTTAAATGTTTTTTGTTAGTTTAGTTATTTATGTTCCACTTCCTGTTTTATTTTGTATTCACCTTGTCTCGTTCCTGGTTCCTTTTCTTCCTGCCTTGGTTGTTTTCCCGCCATCATCAGTGTCTGCCCCGGATTGTTTCCACCTGTGCCCACTTCTCTCTAAGTATTGTTCTAGTTATTAGTTGGGTAAAAATGAGTGTAGATTGTTTATTGTATATATTTTTGTACTGTTTCTGCTTTTTCAAGTAAAGACTTTTTATTGTACTTGAATCCTGTGTCTGCCTTCGTGCTTTTGGGTCCACTCCTTGTACACCCGTAACAAAGTTCTGATTTTAACATCATTTGTGGTACTTTTGGTGAGCATCTGTAGATAAACTCTGTAGCTCAGATCAGACTCTGAAATATGGATGTCCACGGACTTTGTAAATCATGCAAATATTACGATTATTTCTGATTATGGTTTTCTGTATTCATCTAAAAATGGGAAGCAAGTGCGCAGAGAGAGCAGATGTTGCTGTAATTCATTATTTTTGACCATTTTGAACACATGTTGTGGATTATTGATGCAATGCATAACAAAAGCATGGTCACTTGAAACAAACAGTTGAGTCTGCAGGGGCAGAGAAAGGAGCACTTGAACAGACTCTGAGCGTCACTCTCATACCCCCCCACCAGCTGCTGCTTGAGCAATTAGGGGCCATGAGAGATCTGGGAAATACAAAGTTTCCTTTAGGGGCCATATCAAGATGTTTAACAATCTGGAACCTTCTGGAACCCAAGAATTGCTTCAGAATATCAAAGACATTTCATTGGCATCATTTAACCCTAATTCAACAACTTCATTTGTAAAGGCCAAGCTAATGGAGTTTGTGCAATGGGCTTTGAATAATGTTGGGTAGCATAAGATGCTTTGATTGCATTTAGACAGTAGTCCCACTCCGGAATAATATTTTAACCAGAAGGATTATTATTGGCCCAGAGTACCAACCCATTAAGTAGTCATTGGGCGATTCTACACCTCATGAGCGTTTGGTGCCACTGCAAGAATGTTATTTAGAATTGCAGAAATGTAGGGTGTTAAAGTTGCATTCACATGAAATGCGGTAAATCGGCTTTGCGCTGACGTTACCGTTGTGTTTAATGGAAAGAGCGGTGTCGCCCGACTAGGAGGAAGCGCTACGCTCGGTGTCGTGCACCACTCACTTTCCATCCCTTAAGTTTCAGAAAGCTGTAGCGCAGGGGTCGGCAACAGGCGGACCGCGGTCCGGATCCGGACCCGGGCCCGGACCTATAATCAATACATTAATAGGGGATTTCAATTTTGACGGGGCGATTCTATTTTAACCGCTGCCGACAGGGGGCGAAAGAGACGAGTGAGCGATACAGGGAGAGAAACACAGAAGAAGAGATGAGAGAGCGGCAGAGAGAAGCGGAGAGGAAAGTGAGTGAAGAGAAGAGTTAGCGATACAGGGAGGGAGAGAAGCGGAGGGGAGAGTGAACAGGCGTGTTAGCGGCTGAGAGTGAGAACAGAGCTTTTAACCCTGAGTGGACTCATTCATGTTCAATCCTGGCCCACTGGGAGCACAGAACCAGTGTGTCTCATTTGTTCAGAGACCGTGGCGCTCATTAAAAGTGCCAAAACGCCACTATGAGACAAAACACAAAGTGTTTGACCAAACATTCCCTCTCAAGTCAGAACTGAGGTCACAAAAAATAAGCAGTCTCAGAGCCCGATATGATCAGTCCACCAGGATCAAAATGAAAACTAAATATGGTTCCAGGGCAGGCTAACCGAGGCTAACCAATGAGCACCTGCATGTGTGTATGAGAATGGCCCTGACACAATTTCAGCCCAGATCTAAACTCCTGGCAGGACAAGCTCGAGCTCAATTCTCGCACTGAATAAAAAAAAGCGAGTGAGGGACTGCAATATAAGAGGGAAAGAAAGAGAAACTTTAAAACTGTTCAATTGTTATGATGTGTAAAGACTGATATTGTTCTATAATCGCCTGAAACTGTTAGGTCATGATGTGAAACGGTTAACAAAGAAAAAGGGAAACTCAAGCTGCTGCTACACTTTTATTTATCTAAAATTAAGCACTTTTAAGATGCACATATTTTCAAAAGCTATTTTATTTATTTTCTCTATTTCATTTTTAAATGCAGCCAGAGAGGAACATTACACACATCCACAGTATTTTACTGTATATCTGTATAGTTCAATGTTAATTGACAATAAATATTGTTGTTTATGAATTGTACTTTTTTTATTTGATTGACAGTCAGTTGTTGATTACATGCAGACGTTGATAAAGCTGCAGGCTACTTCAATATATATCACACTAATTCATAAAGCAAGTTAGACATTTTGAAGTTCCGGACCTTTGCATGGGGAGATTTTCTCTAACTGGACCTCGTTGAATTTTAGTTGAATACCCCTGCTGTAGCGGGTGGGGCTTATAAGATTTTCAAACAATCTGACAAGCACCTAAATTCAGAAGCATACTGTCGCCTTAACATTAACCATACATGAATGTAATCAACATTCTTCTCTCACGATTGTTTGATTATAATGACAAAATGGCACAAAGAAGAGGTACCATAATACTTATCAAGTTATTACCTAAACTTGTAAATCCCAAAACATTTCAGAACCATGATCAATGTCTGTTTTTAATGGGTCAACATAAATATATTAGTTGAAACTAACTAAGTTCTTCTCTGAAGAACATTGACTGGACTACCATTGGCTTTTTGCTGTTGCTGTCAGTATTAAAAGGAATAATAGTGTACAGTAATAAGAAAGTGACGGTAAAGCTTTCTCCATGCTTGCACTTAAACTACATGTTCCTTATAAAGTACTATAAATAACTGAATTGTACCTGTGAATGGGCTTCAGAAAAAAAAAATCCCTCCCCCCTTTGTTTTTATATAATGAGACCATTGATCAACAGTAATTGCCCATTTTATGTTATTTTCAGCTGGTGGCGAGAGAACCCTGAATGGTACTTATTGTATAAAAGAAGGTTCTAGTTTAATCCAAATGGAAATCAATGGACTTCATTATAAAAATGAAGTAATGCAGTAATTATACAGTACCAGGGTCACAGCAGCTGAATCATTGCATTTTTGCACTGCTTAAAAATGTGACCTCCTACTTTCAATTTATTTTTCAAGACAATTTTATGTTTGCCAGGTTTAGTGCCAAAGGTTGAGATGGTTTAGCATGAAAAGGAGGGTGGTCAATTTAGCAGCTTTGTCATTATAACAGACTCTACCAACATTGCTTCAGAGATGCTTGAGCTCAATGCTCACAAACATTGTATTGCTAATATGCCCACAGTGCTCATAAGTTGCTAAAATGTCATTTGATCTGCTGGTATTGAGTTATAGAACAAAGTATAGAGTGGTGCAGTGATGACTTATTTTTGGGAAGTTAGGATCGCAAGGGCTCCCTCGACAAAGAGAAAAGGGATTTCCACATTGGATTTCGGTACACGTTTTGTTCTGAAGGACAATCTCCACATATTAACAAGATTTAGTGATTTTTGAGCCGTAAATGCAAATCGGCAGAAAATATAAGCTAGCTTAACGCCCTAAACAAACTACATTGTGGTCGCATGGCTGGCAACACTGCTGCTAGGCTAAAGGCGGACTTGTGTCGGTGTAATGACGTTTGAGTCTTATTTAGTCACTTGTTAGCAACCGCCAATTTTGTATGACTCATGAAAGCTTCAGACATTCACGAGTGGGGTATTTACTGATGTATTTTATGTCTTAGAACAAAATATGAAAATGTCATAAGCTAGCGTTAAGCACAGATCTTATTCCAGGCGTCTAACCATAAACACGTTAAAAAAAAACATTGACTTTAAGACGACGGAACTGGAAGTTGTAAAATGCTCAGTTTTCTCCATGTTTAAGGACTCATTCCTGCGCCACTCTCTTGGACCAACTACATTTTTACCTGATGATGGTGCTATACTAAAGTCAGAAGTTGAAGAGGAGATCGTGGCCCAGCTAAACCAGAACCCCAAAAATATTGATCTTTGCCCCCGGAAGCTAAGTCGTCAGACCTATGGGTAAATGACTCTGAGTTTGGTTACAATTTCACCAAAAGAACAAATCTAAACCCTTTTGCTGTCACTAATGTTGGAACGTTTCCTAAAATATCCAGTAAATTCGATTGGCTTATTTAAATCTGCTGTAAGTAGGCTAGCTAGCGTAGCTAACTTAGTTATTTGAAATATGTGACTTGCTCTATCGAAATCAGTCGCATTGACCCGAAGACACATTTTGAGTTGTATACACTGGTGGAAAGAGGAGATTCCTAGCTTTCTAATGATATCAGGATTGTTTTTGTACTCCAAATATTAAGCAAAATATGTCACATTATATAATGACTGTCACGAGTCATCATTTTGAGAAAAAGGCCTTCAAAGTTTCCTCTTCTCTGGAATCCATCGATCTGATTGATTATTAGCGGCTAATAAATGATCAAAGTAGTACGGAGGGAAAATATTTTCGTTTTTGGATTACTGGTCTGGGGGAAGCTCGCGAGTGTGTGTGTGGTGTGGTGTGGTGTGGTGGTG